GAATCCTTGTCGACCGTGAGTGTCCATCGGCTGCCGCTGTCCTCCGGATGCGATAAGCGCACCCACACCTTGGCGACCCGGCCGTACTCAGAGAGCTCACGGAGGCGCGATCCCGTGGCCGTGGCGAACATCCTCCCGTCACCGATGATAACTACGTTGCGGGTGGCTCTGGTGATTGCCACGTTCACCCTGCTGGCGCTGTCCATGAAACCCCAGTCGTGCCAACAGTTGGACCTGATTGTCAGGAAGATGACAAAGTCCGCTTCGCCGCCCTGGCTGGAATCAATGGTCGAGATGGTAAGCTTGCCACTCGCAAGCTGTTCCTCTGCAGTGCGCTGTACGCCTGGGAACCGCAGGGAGATGCCTGTGAGTCCTGAGTCTCTCTGAACGAAGACGCTGGCGTAGTCACTTGTGTCGGTGGAGCGCTCCGGGGGGTGGGCTGTGGGGTCCTTACCCTGGGATATTTCGTTTTTCCCTTTCCCTTTGCTTTTGGCCTTGGTCTGCCTGAGGGACCGCCGACGCTGCGCACGCTCTGGGGCCAACCGTTCTCGAGGATGGCGCACTGCAGCTGGTAGCCGACGACCACCCGTACTGTGGGCCCTCCCCCATGGCGGGGAGGAGGGCTCGTATGATGTCTACCGTCTGGGCTGCCTCCAGCAGGTTGGCGTATCCTGCGTGTAGCTTCGATCTAACCTCCAACGAAAGACTGTCGACCAGTAGGAACCGGTGCCGTTCCACGGCGGGTTGCTTACCTGGGTCGAGGTATCGCAACATCTGATCCATGTCGTCGCTGGTGGTGCGGTTGCCTTCGCTAGGTCTACGACCCTGGTTTTGCTCCAGGGCGGGAACTCCCGCCATGGTAGACCCTTGATCGGGGGCCTCTGGGGCTGGTGGGAATCCGTGAAGCGTCTATAAACGGTCCGCGCGGATGCTTTGGAACCGGCGCTGAGCCACGCTGCCTTGGCCGCGTGGGGCGCGCCAAGGGTGGCACCGGAGGCGTTGCGAGGCGTGTCTTCCAAAGCTGATGTGCGTTCCGTTTACGTATCTCCTGCCATGAACAGAGGCCCCCCAAATGGGATCCGAGCAGATCGGAGTCGGAGGATCGCGTCGCATCGGTGATGCGTCGATGGCGCATCGATGGTACATCCGCGACGTTGGCGACGCATCGGCGACGTCGGCTTGGAGAAAATCAGGCACCACATCGAGCCGTATCGCCGATACATCCGCAATGCAGCGCGATTCACCGACTCCATGTACAGCCACCATCGTGCTAACACAAGGGACGCATGATGAGGAACGAAGGTTATGCTGCTGCCATCGTAATTAAGGACCACATCCCAGAAATTATTTCGAGCACCCCGAAAAGTGTCGAAACACTGCCGGAAGAAATGTCGAACGAGTGTCTCACAGGGCCCGACACGTAAAAACTGTCGAGTTTCGGTGCTTCCTTGGTGCTCGACATTATTACTTTGCTGGTGGCTCAGGCTAAAGTAGGCAGCAACATCATGAAACGAAGGGGCTCTTCTGGCCACGGCGGGCCCAGGCCATGAGGGGCAACGATCGGGGGGGACTGGCATATGGGGGGGGGAACATCGACCTGGAATCGGCGATACCTCGCCGATAGACTGGCCATAGGCCCCCGAGAGTGAATCCGCACGATCCTGGGCAGGCTGGGGCTATCGGGCCCCGGTCGGCGATCCATGGGCGATTGGGATCGATGCATCCCCCCCTGTGCCCATCCTCCCCGATCGCTGCCCCCGAACAGCGGCCCGACAGCCCGAGACCCCTCCTGAGCCCCAAGCGGCCCTGAATCTCAGCGCCTTGCCCTCCCTCGGACCTTGACTGGTCGGGGGCCTGGGGAGAGCCACTGACGCCCAAAAACCCCGATCTTAAGTCGGGCCTGTCCCCAGTGCGACCCGACCTAGAAGTTGGAGCCCCTTAGGAAAGCAGCATTGGATGCTATGCTATGCTACGCCATGCTATGCTGCGCTATGCTATGCGATGCTAGGTTAACCTATGCTATGTCATGCTGCGCTGTGCTATGCTGAGCTATGCTATGCCATGATATGATAAGCTATGATATGCTATGCTATGCTGCGCTATGATATGCTATGTTATGCTATGATATGATGTACTGCGATATGCTATGCTATGCTATGCCGTGATTGGCTGTGTTATGGTATGCTATGCTATGTTAATGCAGCGCTGCGCTATGCTAAGCTAATCTAAGCCAAGCTAACCCTCTAGGCATAGCCTAGGTAGGGAATTACACCCATGCTAAGCTAAGATGAAATAGGCTAAGCTAAGATGAGATAAGCAACGCTAAGCTAAGGTGACGTAGCTGGAGGAACCGCTGGGCGGATACTGGGGGAACCGCCCGGGCCGGTTCCCACTGCCCGGCCCTTGAAGCCAAGAGAGTAAGAACCCTTCTAGGCAGAGCCTAGGTAGGGAATAAAACAATCGAGGCCAGCTCGGCATCTGTCGCGCATTGCTTCTGCCTTGCCTTGGCTTTGCTTTATTGTTGCTTTTGCTTTGCTTTGCGTTGCTTGTGCTTTGCTTTGCTGTCGCTGCTGTTGCTTTGCCTTTGCGTTGCTGCTGTGCTATGCTATGCTCTGCTGTGCTGCGCGTGTGTATGCTATGCTATGCGAAAGCTCAGCGAAGCTAAGATGAAGGTAAGCTAATATAAAACTGAAGTAATATGAAACTAAGCTAAGGTAAGATGAGATAAGCTAAGCTAAGATGAGATGAGCAACGCGAAGCTAAGGAGCTAAGGGAACGTCACTGAGGGAACCGAGGGGCGGATGCCGGGGGAACCGCCCGGGGCGAGCCCCACTGCCCGGCCTTTAAGCTTAGCTATGCGATACGAAGCTGCGTTATGCTATGATATGCTATGCTATGCTATGCTATGCTATGCTGCGCTATGCTATGCTATGTTTGACTATGTTATGATATGCTATGTTATGCCAATGCAGCGCTGCACTATGCTAAGTCAAACTAAGCGAAGCTAAGCGACGCTAGCCGTCTAAACAGAGCCTAGGTAGGGATTTACCCCATGCTATGACATGCGATGCTGCGCTATGCTATGCTACGCTATGCTATGCTATGTTGTGCTCTGCTGTGTTAAAGCTCAACGAAGCTAAGATGAAGGTGAGCTAAGTTAATATAAACAATGAGGTAATATGAAACTAAGCTAAGGTACGATGAAGTAAGCTAAGCTAAGATGAAATAGGCAACGCGAAGCTAAGGGAACGCCACTGGGGGAACCGAGGGGCGGGGAACCGCCCGGGGCGTGCCCCACTGCCCGGCCCTTTAAACTACGAGGTAAGAACCCTTCTAGGCAGAGCCTAGGTAGGAGGAAACCGAAAAAGAAACATTCAACAAAACCCATAATATGCCACAAACATGCTCCCAACATAATCCGCATACTTTTGTTTGACTATTTGAGAGTATTCCCCCTGTAGAAAAACAAGCCCGAATTAACCCCGATCCTCGAAGCAGGAAGGCGCGGGATTTGGGCATCCCAAAAAACTACTTCCAAAGACCAACGGGTAGCCTCGACCGCACACTGGGCCGACTCATCAGGCCCTGCTCGCCTCTTCCTTGTGTTCCCCTCTCTCTCCCTGTCCTCCTCCTTTTCGGGGAAGCGCAAACATGGATTAGCGACCCATGCATGTGGCGCGCCCATGGATCGGGGGATGTGCCCTCCCCAAGATGCGGCTGGTGCCGCCTCGCTCGGCGGCGGAAATCCGCGATTTCCCATGGGAGCGGGGCCCGTCGCTAATCCACGCCCCCTTGATCCCTGTTTGCGATCGCCTGAATTGGGGAGACCTGGAACTAATGAGGGGCAGCGGTCCCCCTGGAATCTCGGAGTCGGCGCGCCCCCCCCCCAGGCCTATGTAGGGGATGGACAAAACCCCCTTTAGCAAAACGTGCGTGAAAACGGCCTCGGGCCCAAACCTGGCGGGCACTAGCCTGGAAAATGACGGCCGCGGCGCCCTCTCGAGCACCGAAAACGGACAATATCACCAGCCCTCTGGGCGTCGCTGGTTTAGGGAGTTTCCTCTTCCAATCCTCTTTCTTCCCCCTCGGGGAAAGGTTTATCACTGTTCCCTATAAATATACACCCCCTTCCCCAGGCCAATCGGGGTCAACGCGGCCCCCCCCCCCCCACCATCCCTGGCAAAAAAAACCATGCAAACACACGTTCCGCCTCCAAATTCGGAGCATGCGCAGCGAACCCGATGCGGCCTCCCCCCACCATCCCGGAGAAAAAAATACACTTGGCCGTGGCGGCGGCCGCGGCGGCTGCGGCGGAGGCAGCGGCTGCGGCGGCTGCGGCGGTGGCGGCGGCGGTGGCGGCGGCGGCGGCGGGGGCGGCGGCGGCGGCGGCGGTGGCGGCAGCGGCAGCGGCTGCTGCGGCGGCGGCGGCGGCGGCAGCGATTCGGCAGCGGGGGCGACGGCGGCGGCGGCGGAAGCGGCGGGGGGGCCAGGCTCGGGTGCCACGTATGTGTCGGGAGGGCGGGTGGGAGTGAGCGAGACGGCTTGCGGGCGGGGAGGGAGACTATTGACCCCTCCCCCATACCCCCTCCCCTGGACCTGGACAAAGGGGGTCTCACGAGGTGTCCGAGCGTCCAAAACGGCCTCGGCGAAGAAGCCAAAATCATCGGTCCTAATCCGGTTGTGGCCCCATTTTGGCCTCCCGAAAGGGGGGGCCCTAATTGAAGCTCCCTTCTTGTTTGATCCATCTCCGCCAAGATGGCCCCAAGAAGCGCCCGGGAGGCCCCGAGAGGCCCCAAGATGGCCCCAAGAGGCCCCCAATAAGTTCCCAGGAGGCCCCCAAGAAACCCCGAAGAGGCCCCAAGAGACCCCCCAGAGGCACCCAAGATGCTCCAAGAGGCCTCGGCGAAAATGCCAAAACGGCCTCGGCGAGGAAGCCAAAATCTGTGGATTACTAGGGTTGTGGCCCCAGTTTGGCCTCCTGGGAGGGGGGCGCTAATTAATGCCCCCCTCTTGTTTGGTCGATCTCCTCCAAGATGGCCCCAAGAAGCGCCCAGGAGGCCCACGCGCAGCATGCAAAGCAGCAAGAGCGGCGCCGCTGCGAAAGCGGTGGCGCCGACCCGCCGGGCCACGAGGCGGCCGAAAGGCAGCCACCGTCGGCGTCAGTGGCGCCGTCCCCTTTGGGGAGGCGGAGGAGGCGGAGGAGGCGGAGGAGGAGGAGGCGGAGCGTCCTCGCATGAAGCGGGAATCGCGCAGACGACGGGTCCCGTCGCACCACCGGGACCGCCGCCACCACCACCAGGGGACCCGGGGGTGGGCGGGAAGCCGTCGTCGTCGACGTCGTGGGGCCGCCGCAGCCACGCCCGCCGCTTCTTCGTCATGACCGCCGCCGGGTCGCCTCCAGAGCCGCCGTTTCCGTGGCGGGGCCGCCGTCGGTCGTCGCGCAAGTCGCCGCCGTCGGAGGAGGGGCTGACCAGCGGGGGGCGGAAGGCCGCGGTCGTCGTCGGGGTCGCCGTTACCAGCGTCGTCGGCAAAGGAGCCGTCGGCGTCAACATCGTCGTCGGGAACGTCGTCGGCATCGTCGGGGCCGCCGTCGTGCGGGGTCGCCCTGAGGTTGTCGCTGCGGTCGCCATCCAGGCCGCCGCCAGCCGGGCCGCCAACGCAGCCGGGGTCGCCGTCCTGCCCGCCACGGTGAAGCCCCCACGACGCCACAACCGCCGCCGCCGCCGCCTCTGCGAAGCCGGGGTCGCCGCCAAGGCCGTCGCCGCCAGGGCCGCCATCGGGTTCGCCACCGCGGACACCCCGCGCCGCCACCACCTCCGCAGCCGCGCCCGGCGTCTCCGCGGAGCAATCGCTGAACGCCTGGGAGGGGGAGGGAGGGGTGGCTCGAAGGACCTCGAGGCCGAGGCGACACGCCACCACCTGCAGCGCCGCCCGGCGCTCTACCGAGGGCCCGGCCCCGATCGTGATCCAGCCTGGCTTGGCCGTGACCCGGGGCTGGGCCGCCCACCAATCCGAGGGGGCGCTGGCCTCCGCGCCGAGGCGGGCACGGGCATCGGCGAAGCGCGGGCACTCCGCCCATAGGTGTCGCGCTGAGCAGAGGAGCTCCGGACACCAGGGGCAAGCCTTAGCGTGCTTGCCGCGCCCGCGGCGGGTTGGGGTCCGAGCCGCTCCGCCCCGCCACACGCTGAGTAGCGATCGCGACTGAGGGCATAAGCCACGGCGCCAATCCCTCCACACGGCCGCGCTGGAGGCCTCGATGTCAATGGCCTCGATCCCCTCCTCGTCGTTCCTTCGCGGGAGCCCCTGGCGGGGGCGCAAGAGGTCCCAAGATGAGCCTAAGATGGCCCCAAGAGGCCCCCCCCAGGAGGCCTCCAAGAGACCCCGACGAGGCCCCAATAGACCCCCCAGAGGCACCCAAGATGCTCCAAGAGGCCTCGGCGAGAATGCCAAAACATTGATTTTACAAAGGCTTTAGCCACATGTTGGCCTCTTGGGGGGGGCACTGATTAAGATCAAGAGCGCCTGGGAGAGCCCAAATGACCTCCAAGATGGCTCAAGATATTCCAAGATGTCTCATAATGGCTTCCTCTGTGTGCTGCCCACTTCCCTGATCGAGGCAACTCCTCTGGCACCGTTTCTGGATGGGCTGGTGGGGGTTCGCGAAGCGTCAACAATTCACTAATCGACGTGTCAGGGTGGGGGTTCTGTCCACCCTCGAGCTTTTCTACCCCCCCCATTTGGGCCACCCCCCATTCGCAAAACCTGCCCGATCTGCCTCCGCCACAGAGCACCCCACTGGCCCAAAGAAAACGACCCGGGACCAGGCCCGCCGGGCATCGACGCCCGCTCGCGAGCCGAACACTTGCCAGATCGCGAGTCGACTTGGCGGGGCAGGAGAACCCGGAATCGACTACCTTAGCCTCCTATCGTTGCCCCCGACTATCTCAGCCTATCGTTGAGTCGGGCCTGTCCCTCTACAGGAGGATTTGGGCGAAACATAAAAAAATACACAGAAAATGCCCCCCAAAGATTCACAAATAGTAAAGAAATAGTCCCCTGACAAATTTTTGACTAATTTTGAATATTCCCCCTGTAGAGGGACAGGCCCGACTTGAGCCTAACGTTGCCCCCCGAATGGAAGGGACGCGGCCCTGAGCCAGAGGGGTGCGGCCCTCGGGCAGGGCCGGCTCCCCTGCCCGAGACGCTGCATGCTCGGCTCGTCGTCCCGAGCTGTGCTCGGCTGCCCTCCCCTGGCAGTCGTTTTTATTTTTTTCCCAACCATCCTGTGGTGTTGGGTCCTCGTTTTGAAGAGACAGCGCCCCGCGTCTCCTCTCCTCTCCTCTCCTCTCCTCTCCTCTCCTCTCCTACTCCTCCTCCTCTCCCCCCTCCTCCCTCCTCCCATGGCCGTCATCATACTCATCGTCATCATCATCATCATCCTCCTCCTCCTCATCATCATCATCATCATCATCAACATCATCATCATCATCATCATCATCATCATCATCATCATCATCATCATCATCATCATCATCATCATCATCATCATCATCCTCGTCATCATCACCACCAGCATCATCATCGTCATCATCATCGCCATCGCCATTAGTTCCCAACCATCCTGTCATCATCACCACCAGCATCATCATCGTCATCACCACCAGCATCATCATCGTCATCGTCATCATCATCATCATCATCGCCATCGCCATTAGTTCCCATTTCCGCACACCCCTCACACGTTTCGTGGCCCCATAGGGAGCTCCACCGAAGGCCCCAGTGGCAGGGTTCGCATGCCGCCCCCACCCCACTTTGGCACACCCCTCACACGTTTCGTGGCCCCATAGGTAGCTCCACCGAAGGCCCCAGTGGCAGGGTTCGCATGCCGCCCCCACCCCACTTTGGCACACCCCTCACACGTTTCGTGGCCCCATAGGTAGCTCCACCGAAGGCCCCAGTGGCAGGGTTCGCATGCCGCCCCCACCTCACTTTGGCACACCCCTCACACGTTTCGTGGCCCCACAGGGAGCTCCACCGACGGCCCCAGTGGCAGGGTTCGCATGCCGCCCCCACCCCACTTTGGCACACCCCTCACGCATTTCGTGGCCCCATAGGTAGCTCCACCGAAGGCCCCAGTGGCAGGGTTCGCATGCCGCCCCCACCTCACTTTGGCACACCCCTCACGCGCTTCGTGGCCCCATAGGTAGCTCCACCGAAGGCCCCAGTGGCAGGGTTCGCATGCCGCCCCCGCCCCACTTTGGCACACCCCTCACACGTTTCGTGGCCTCATAGGGAGCTCCACCGAAGGCCCCAGTGGCAGGGTTCGCATGCCGCCCCCATCTCACTTTGGCACACCCCTCACACGTTTCGTGGCCCCATAGGGAGCTCCACCGACGGCCCCAGTGGCAGGGTTCGCATGCCGCCCCCACCCCACTTTGGCACACCCCTCACGCATTTCGTGGCCCCATAGGGTGCTCTACCGAAGGCCCCCGTGGCAGGGTTCGCATGCCGCCCCCACCCACTTTTGCACACCCCTCACACGTTTCGTGGCCCCATTGGGAGTTCCACCGAAGGCCCCAGTGGCAGGGTTCGCATGCGTCCGCGCCACCCATGTCGACACACCCTTGACACGTTTCGTGGCCCCATAATGAGCTCCACCGAAGGCCCCAGTGGCAGAGTTGGCATGCCGCCCCTCGCCCATTTCGGCCCACCCCTCACACGTTTCGTGGCCCCATAGGGAGCTCCACCGAAGGGGCCCCAGTGGTTGCGTTCGCATGCGTCCCCACCACCCATTTCGGCACACCCCTCATACGTTTCGTGGCCCCATAGGGAGCTCCACCGAAGGCCCCAGTGGCTCCCCACCACCCATTTCGGCACACCCCTCACACGCTTCGTGGCCCCATAGGGAGCTCCACCGAAGGCCCCAGTGGCTGCGTTCGCATGCCTCCCCACCACCCATTTCGGCACACCCCTCACACGTTCGTGGCCCCATAGGGAGCTCCACCGAAGGCCCCAGTGGCAGGGTCCGCATGCCTCCCCACCACCTATTTCGGCACACCCTTCACACGTTTCGTGGCCCCATAGGGAGCTCCACCGAAGGCCCCAGTGGCGCGGTGCCTATGAGAAGAGGGGCCTAGTTTGCGTGCCCCCTCCTTCGTCTCATATCCGCGCGGTACTCGCAGCTGCATATGGTTGGGTCCTTCGCCAAGCTAATTGTTTCCATCCTGTGGTGTTGGGTCTTCGTTTTGAAGAGACGTCGCCCAGCGTTCCTTTCTCAACCTCCTCCTTCCTCCTCCTCCCCTTCCTCCCCCCTCCTCCCCCTCCCACACCCATTCTGGCACACCCCTCACACGTTTCCGTGGCCCCATAGGGAGCTCCACCGAAGGCCCCAGTGGCTGCGCCCGCATGCGGTTCCACCCCCATTCTGGCACACCCCTCACACGTTTCGTGGCCCCATAGGGAGCTCCACCGAAGGCCCCAGTGGCTGCGCCCGCATGCGGTTCCACCACCCATTCTGGCACACCCCTCACACGTTTCGTGGCCCCATAGGGAGCTCCACCGAAGGCCCCAGTGGCTGCGCCCGCATGCGGTTCCCCCATTCTGGCACACCCCTCACACGTTTCGTGGCCCCATAGGGAGCTCCACCGAAGGCCCCAGTGGCTGCGCCCGCATGCGGTTCCACCCCCCATTCTGGCACACCCCTCACACGTTTCGTGGCCCCATAGGGAGCTCCACCGAAGGCCCCAGTGGCTGCGCCCGCATGCGGTTCCACCCCCCATTCTGGCACACCCCTCACACGTTTCGTGGCCCCATAGGGAGCTCCACCGAAGGCCCCAGTGGCTGCGCCCGCATGCGGTTCCACCCCCATTCTGGCACACCCCTCACACGTTTCGTGGCCCCATAGGGAGCTCCACCGAAGGCCCCAGTGGCTGCGCCCGCATGCGGTTCCACCCCCCATTCTGGCACACCCCTCACACGTTTCGTGGCCCCATAGGGAGCTCCACCGAAGGCCCCAGTGGCTGCGCCCGCATGCGGTTCCACCCCCCCCCCATTCTGGCACACCCCTCACACGTTTCGTGGCCCCATAGGGAGCTCCACCGAAGGCCCCAGTGGCTGCCTCGCATGCGTTCCACCCACCATTCTGGCACACCCCACAGCCCCATAGGGAGCCACCGAAGGCCCCAGTGGCTGCGCCCGCCTGCAGTTCCACCCTCCATTCTGGCACACCCCTCACACGTTTCGTGGCCCCATAGGGATCCCCACCGAAGCCCCCAGTGGCTGCGCCCGCACGCGGTTCCACCCCCCATTCTGGCACACCCCTCATACGTTTCGTGGCCCCATAGGGAGCTTCACCGAAGGCCCCAGTGGCTGCGCCCGCATGCGGTTCCACCTCTCATTCTGGCACACCCCTCACACGTTTCGTGGCCCCATAGGAAGCTCCACCGAAGGCCCCAGCGGCTGCGCTCGCATGCTGTTCCACGCCCCATTCTGGCACACCCCTCACACGTTTCGTGACCCCATAGGGAGCTCCACCGAAGGCCCCAGTGGCTGCGCCCGCATGCGGTTCCACCCCCCATTTCGGCACACCCCTGGGGGAGCTCCACCGAACGCCCCAGTGGCTGCGCTCGCATGTGGTTCCCCCCCCCCCCATTTCACACGGTGCGTGGCCCCATAGGGAGCTCCACCGAAGGCCACAGTGGTTGCGCTCGCATGCGGTTCCACCCCCTTATTTTTCGGCACGCCCTTCACAAGTCTCGTGGCCCCATAGGGAGCTCCACCGAACGCCGCAGTGGCAGCGCTCGCATGCGGTTCCGCCCACCATTTCGGCACACCCCTCACACGTTTCGTGGCTCCATAGGGAGCTCCACCGAAGGCCTCAGTGGCTGCGCTGGCATGCGGTTCCCCCCCCCATTCTGGCACACCCCTCGCACGTTTCGTGGCCCCATAAGGGGGCTCCACCAAAGGTCCCAGTGGCACTGCCCGCTTGCGTCCGCCACCACCCAACACAGCCCTTGTTCC